GATATATACAGAGAGAGGGAGTGAGACACACATATATATATATATAGAAAGAGAGGCAGAGGGAGAGAGACATAGAGCGAGGCACAGAGAAAGACATAACACAACAGAGAGAGAGAGAGGAGCAGGGAACTATGTGGATGGAGTGTCGGGGGGGGGACACAAACACGCATCTATACATTTAAGCTTGAAACACAAGTAGTTATGCATACACACATGTACATATATATATATATATATATATATATATACGCTCACGGTGCTGCGGTTTGTTCTATTGCTCCCCCCTTCGATTTCCCACCTGCATAGCTCCCTGCTTTCGCCTCGCGCCTGTACTCACATGCCGCTTCACGCACGCGCACACACACAGACCCCGCAGCCCATGCTTGCACGTGGGAGTTCCCCTTGTCTTCCCAGGAAGCGGCATGGGCCTCGAGGGCTTGCTGGGTTGCCCCCCTGTCGCCGCCTCGTCGCCCCCCCGTCGCCGCCCCGTCGCCCCCTCGTCGCCGCCTCGTGCGGCGGCTGGCGCTCCCCAGACTTCCGCCCCGTCGCCGCCCCGTGGCCGCCCGTGGCCGCTTCGTCGGCGCCCCGCGGAGGCGCCGCGGAGCCTGCACCGCATGGGCTCTCCTCGTCTTCTCTATAGATATCTCTATGATATCCTCATCGTATCTACAGTCGACTCTATGCAAGTTGTGTTCCACTTGACTTTTATCGGGCCCCCCCCCCCCCCCCCCCGTGGGCAAACGGCATCTTACAAGTGTGGTGTCTGTGTGTGTGTGTGTGTGTGTGTGTGTGTGTGTGTGTGTGTCTGTGTCTGTGTCTGTGTCTGTGTCTGTGTCTGTGTCTGTGTCTGTGTCTGTGTCTGTGTCTGTGTCTGTGTCTGTGTCTGTGTCTGTGTGTGTGTGTGTGTTTGCCATCTTTCATGATGCATCGGAGCTCTTACAATCCCAGGGGGGTTCCTTTTCGCGCGCCCCCCTCATATCCCCTCATCCTTGTCAGGCAATGCAATGCGCGCGCATCCGTTGTTTTGCAGAGCGCATGTTTCACGAAACCTTTGCAACACATGGAACGACGTCCACACGCGCTCGCACTTGTCAACGTGATACCAATTACTTCCGTTGTGCAGGGATGCCAACAGCAAACAAACGCCTTCTAGGATTGCCATCACAAAGCTTGCGGATTGCCTGCCCGCGCGCACTTGTTGAAATCGTGTAGGAGAAGCGTAGGATACCATCGCATACGTCCCAAACCCACATGCTCATACAGGCCTCGGAACAAATTAGCGAACACATGCCACATTAATCCGTCAACGCTTCCCTCTCCCCCCAATGTTCAAAGTTGGCGGTGGGTCTGATGAGATGCACTTCGACCGCAGTCTCCCCCGCGCGTGCCAACATTGAGTTTGGGGGGAGTGGGAGTGTTCAGTAATTGTTTCCCTCTACTGTATCACCAAGCGGTACGTCCGCGTTGATCGAACATGCGCCCAGCTCACGAATCGTTGGCCAACAGTGCCATGCGGGCCACGTGCGCGCGCCGCCACGCGAGAGTGTCGAAGTCCTTCCAGCACCTCAGTTGTCGTTGGGATTTTAAAATCGAGCTCTTCCAAAACGTATGAGAAAACAACCATTGTTTGTTCAACAAGAGAGTTGCCAGGGCTCCTGGTTCTCTGCGCGCGCGCACTTCCCCACCATAACACGCATCAGCGCCTCCGCACCACGTCATCGTCACTGACGTCATCGACGCATGGACATAACCCTCGCCATCGGCGTTACCAGCATCGGCGTCGTCATTGGCCCTGCCGTCGTCATCGTCATCACGCCACCACCTGCGCTACTATCAGCGCTGCCGCCGTCGTCGACGACATCCTGAGACCGCGCCCACGCGCTGGGGAGTTCTCACCGGTAAGCGCAAGTGGGGTCGCATCGGCTGCGCCGAACCAGCTAGCCGTTCTGCGCGCGGGCCTGCGCGCGCGCCAGCGCGCGGCCGCAGAGCTGCGCCACTCATGTCATGGCCAGGCAGGCAGCACAGTCGCCGCCGCAGGGGTTTTGCAGACCTAGTTGCGGGTTGAAGGGTGGGATGATTGCTGGAGCAGTGGAGTTGACAGCTCACGAGCTGACAACACCTGCTTGCGCCACACGGCCTGCGCCACAGATGCTTGCATCACAGGGCCTGCGCCGCGGAGCTTGCAAAACCTAGCTTGCACCACTTCGCTTGCACCACATCGGTTCCACCCCATAGCTTGCCCCACACGGCTTACGCCACATAGCACCGTGGGCGCATCTCCGCCGCACCGCGGGTGCCCCGTGGCCGCTCCGCTTCCGCCCGCCGCCGCCTCGTTGGCGCCCCGCGCTGTCGCCTCACTGAGCTTGCGCAGCACGGGCTGCACCACAGCTTGCACCACAGAGCTTGCACCACCTAGCATGCACCACGTCAATCACACCGCATGGCTTGCACACAGGGTATACGCCATGCAGCACCGTGCGTCGCTGCGCCGTGGGCGCCTCGTAGCCGCTCCGCGCCCACCCGCCGCTGCCTCGTCGGCGCCCCGTGCAGTTGCAGCACCTGGGTTGCACCACATGGCTTGCACCACGTAGCTTGCACAGCATGGCTTGCATCACATAGCTTGCACAACATCGCTTACACCATTTACATTGTACCACACCGATTGCACCATAAAGCCTACACTGAACCGGTTACGGCACGTAGCTTGCTCCTCTACACTTGCACCACTTATCTCACACCACATACATTGCACAACATACTTTTCACCACATAATTTGCACCACATTCCTTCGAACACGCAGCTTCCACACCGTTCACAACATAGCTGGTATCACACCGTTCACGGCACATGGCTTGCACCACATTATTTCCACTACCACATTTAGCTTGCACAACCGCGTGACACATTCTCACTGCTGTGTGCCCACGGTAGCAGACATGTATACATGCATCTGCACATATGTACATTCGCTCTGTCACTAGCATGCTCATGCGTTACGACGTGATATGCGGGGAAGGCGACCCCGAAGTTTCAAGCAGTCTGTCTACACTTTTCTGTCACCGTGCTTGGGGAGCTTTTGGGGGGTTTCCAGGGATTCTTTCGCGAGGTTTTAGAGTTGTCCTGCCTTAGAGTTGTCTTAGATTTGTCCTGGGCACTGGGTGAAGAGGTGTCACTATGTCGCCGCTGTGCATAGCTAGCTTGTTCTGCCAGCGCACCATCTCAGCCTTCGTTATGCTCAGTCGCCGCCAGGGCAAGGGCGGAGACGTGATGCTGGATACCGCCAAGAAAGTGCTGCAGGAGGAGTTCCCGGAGTTCGCTGGAATGCAGGAGACCGCCGGGCATGCAAGAGCTCTATCTCGCTCGCCTTCCTTCGTTCATACCTTTCTCCTCTGCCTCCTCTCCTCCCCGCCTATCTCAGGACCCATCACAGGCAGGGGCGCATTCATGGCTCGTCCTTGAGGTCCCAAGCGAAGAAGGCAGGGCTCAGAAGGATGGCGGCAGTCCTGGTTTGGTCCTGCAGGCGGATTATCAGGCCAGGCCTGCAAGAGGGAGCCAGATGAGCCCACGGGGCCCGTTCCAGTCCAAAACCAAGTACAGTCACCCCGCATCGTAAGGATGGGTAACCTTCCCAAGGGTACCCTTGCATCCTTGCCTCCTCGGTCCATCCTTCGCCACTCTCGTTGGCCGTGCCCCGCTCGAAAAGCTTGCACATGGCCTGCCACGGCCCTTGCATCCTTATCGAGCGTCCATTTTGATACGGGCTGTGCATTTACGATGCATTTACGTACGTGTCACCACCGGTATTTTGGCTTACGGCTCCATTGATCGCTATGGCAGACAGCTGTACTCTTTTGAGCGATTCTTGGCAATTTTTTGCGCCGCAGGGTGGCTACTCTTGCTAGGATCTGA